TTATCACTTTGAAGACCTAATTGATTCACAAAAAAGTATTAGGGTTCAATTGACTTTTTCGTATAAGTACAGGGACCTATTTGACAGTTTTCCCTTACTTTTATTTTACTTTTTCTTCATGCTATCATTCCAACGATATCTATTTTTAATTTCTTCTTCTTTTTCAATAAAAATCATCTATCATCTTCTCTCAAAAACAAATGTGCATTCTTTGGAAAATAAATAAGCCAGTTTTTATTAAAGATTCTTTTATTTTGAGGAAAATCACACCTTTAATCCTTCAGCTATTGCCCACATGAAAATATACTACCTCTATTCCCTTTTAGTTGCAACATTAGACTTTTCACTATTCACATATTCTACTTTGACTATATTTTATTAATACGGAGGAAGTAGTAATTACCATAAAGTCGAATTAAAATTGTTATCCATTTGTAACTTTGACACAATTCAAAAGGGTCAGATAGGCCATCGAACTTACATAAATAGGTCAAATAAGCCCTTATATAGGAGGCTCTGTCCTGCCGTCGCCATTTGGGGTGGTTTCCAGTGGAATTTTTTGATGAACTTTTTTGAGAATCTTATTCATTAAATCTAGTTTACTCATACCAAAGTTTAGCTAAAACTTCAATCGGGAAGACATTCAAATGAATTCTTGAAGATAATTGTGCAGTTAAAAGCGCAGTTAATTTCAATAATTCAGTTGAATGTCTTCCTGATTGAATTGTTACCTGAAATATGGATTGGAAAAGTCCGACTTTATCAATCAAAGACAACAAATGTCTGGCACACACGAGAAATATTTTAGACACGGTAAAATATTGTACATTTTTGTGTGTGACAAATTTATTTTTGATGTTATATGATTGTTATTTGTGTGTGCTAGACATTTATTATCTATAAAATTTAGTTTTTGCAACAAATATTTTTATCTGGCGCCTAACTTTAGAAAATGTCACTGCAAAAGATTTTGAAAATGTATACAAAAAAATATAGATAACAAATTACAAGAATTTTCTTATTTCATTATTATGTAAGTTTGATATGAATCATATGATCTAGCATGGTATATTTAAGTGTGGTGTTGTCTAATAGAATTTTCTTTGATATGAATCATATGATCTAGCATGGTATATTTAAGTGTGGTGTTGTCTAATTTGGGACTGAAAAACAATTCAATTAAAGTATTCCAAGAAGGAAGAAAAAACAAAATCGAAATCTCTCAGACCTCTCAGACAGATTGCAAGCTCTTCAAAGGAACCAACCCTAGAGGTGGAACCACCCGTTTACTGGACTATTATGTTCGAGAGAAGCAAATATTCTTCCACAATTGGACTGCTGCGAGAATATTGACTACATGGGCCGAGTGGGCCCTGATATTTTGTTTTTGTTGATTATTTTGCTTCTTGTACTGAGTCAATATTTGAATCCCTTATCTTGACTTTTTATTTCTAATATAATGAGGTAAATGTTTCCCGACATTTACCTCACCATTGTGGTGAATTTTCGGGATTAAAAAAAAACAAGAAAAACAAAAATAAATAGAAAATTAGAAGAAAAGTCAAAAAGGAAAATAAAAAACAAATAGGAAATGAGGAACAAACCAGTGAAAAAGGCAGGCACAAGTTTTGGAGAAAAACAAAGAGAAAATGGTCAGATAGGGCCTCGAACTTACATAAAAAGGTCAAATAAGGTCTTATATAGGAGACTCTGTCCGGCTGACGCTATTTGGGGCGGTTCCCGTTGGAATTTTTTGATGAATTTTTTTGAGTATCTTATTCATTAAGTCTAGTTTACTCATACCAAATTTGAACTAAAACTTCAATCGGGAAGACATTCAATTGAATTCATGAAGATAACTGCGCATTTAAAATTGCAGTTATCTTCAAGAATTTATTTGAATGTCTTCCCGATTGAAGTTTTAGCTGAAATTTGACATGAGTAAACTAGACTTAATGAATAAGATGGTAAAATATTTTCATCAAAAAATTCCTCCGTAAACAGCCCCAAATTGCGACGGCCGGACAGAGCCTCTTATATAAGGCCTTATTTGACCTTTTTATATATATATAAGTTCGAGGCCCTATTTGACTCTTTTCCCAAAAATAAATGAGCAGAGCGACCAAGAAGAAAAATAGAGAAAGATACGGAGTACTCTGTAGAATAAAAGTAGCAGGGAATCCCAAGAAGCAGATGGATGAAGTGTGTTTCAGATCGAGAAGAACAAAAAGCAAGGATTAAAATAAATTTTTAATTAGTTAATGTATCTATGTGATGGATTTTTTAGTAGAAGGGCTTAGATGATTTTTTTGGATATAGTAGACGGGTTTATTTGACCCTTTTTCCTTCTTAGAATGTACTACTTCTTCCGTCCCTTTTATATTGGGACGGAAGAGGGTTGCACGAGTATTAAGAATAAAGTGAGAATGATTTAAAACCACATAAACCTTTTCAAATATGGTATGAGACAATATTAGTGGGGCTTCCCGAAATAGTAAAACGGGACAATATAAGGGAACATAGGAGTAGTAATATTCAGCTTTGACATGTGTGCCTACCATGCCCTTACTGTTGGAGCACTACGTATCTATTAACTCTCTTCTAACGCTTGTGGCCACACTTAGGGAGTGTTTGCAACTGCTTAAAAAAAGCACTTCTCAGCTTTTGGCTTTAAAAAACACTTATTTACCAAACACTACCAATTTTTACTTTTTATCGGCTTGCGTGTGAAAAGTGCTTTTCCCTTTTCTATTACACAAAAAGCACTTATTTTATCAAACACTACCAACTTTTACTTTTCAAAATCACTTTTTTCTCAAACACTATCAACTTTTACTACTAATCACTTTTTCCTTACATCTCCAAAAGTGCTTTTTTTTAAGCAGAAGCAGTTGCAAATACTCCCTTACAAGACTTGAGCGACATGATTTGCTCAATGAATTTTACTCAATTTCTTCCACCCAAACCATAGGTTGTATGGATAAAATAACTATCTAATACTCCATAATACTCGATACTCCCTATACATCTTTAACATCAAATATAGTTATATACTACCAATAATACTCATTCAAGAGAGTTTAGTCTAGGGAGTAATCTTGTAAAAATATACGGTGTAGATAAGGATGACGCTTGACGCCTCATCCTCAAGGGTCCCCAGAACCGACCAGATAGTTATTTGAGAGGATGTAAGTTGAGTTTTGATCGATTAAAAGAGAGCGAGATTCCATCCTAAGTCACTACTTGGAGTTGAACCGAGACTCTCCCTCCTTTTGGCACCCCGGTAATATAGAGCATAGATAATATTACTAGGGAAATTCTACGATGCACCTCTAAAGTTCGCATGTACGGTACATTTTTTTATGTAGGCAAATAAAACAATGCCACATGGACATTAAATTCATACTCCCTCCGTCCCAGGGAGAAGTTCCCGGGTTGACTTTCACACATATTAAGGAAATAAAGTTACTGGGGGGTAAATTTTACTGTTTGGCACTGTTTCGACACTGTTTTGCACTGTTTGACACTGTTTTGATGTAGAATAACTTTCCATTTAGGGAAATGAGAACTTCTTGTTGGGACTGCCAAAAAACGAAATTGGGAACTTGTCCCTGGGACGTAGGTAGTATATTTTAATTATTTTTCATGTGGTACAATATTATTGACCCCTGTGATATAATCAAATTAACGGGTGCACGGTAGTGGTGCCTTTATTACTACTTAGTGCTGGACTCGGGCCGGTTCGGGCCCGGTTCGGGCCTAGGCCCGGCCGGGCCTCGGGCCAGGAAAGTTGGGCCCGAGCCCGAACCGCCGGTGGGCGGTTCCGGTTCCGGTTCCGGGCCAAACCGGGCCGGGCCTAACCGGTTATATATATATATATATATATATATATATATATATATATATAGAGGGCTCTTCTCATCAGGCCGGCCTGACAGGATGCCCCGTCCGGCCGAGCCCGTTTGGGCACCTTCCCGGTGGAATTTTTTGATGAAATTTTTTGAGCATGTTCCTCATCAAGTCTAGTTTGTCCATACCAAATTTCAGCTCAAAATTCGATCGGGAAGGTCGTCAAATGATTTTTGAAAGTTAACTGGTCCGGAAAATACATATTCCGGACCAGTTAACTTGCAAAAATCATTTGACGACCTTCCCGATCGAATTTTGAGCTGAAATTTGGTATGGACAAACTAGACTTGATGAGTAACATGCTCAAAAAATGTCATCAAAAAATTCCACCGAGAAGGTGCCCAAACGGGCTCGGCCGGACGGGGCAGCCCGTCAGGCCGGCCTGACATGAAGTTTCCTCTCTCTCTCTCTATATATATATATATATATATATATATATATTGGCTCTTCTATTTAACCCCCAACCCCTCCCCCTCAGCCCCAAACCACCCTAAACCACCTCAAATGGCCCAAAATACCTAATCCAACCCAAAACTTAAAAAAAATTCAAAAAAAAAAATAATTAAAACCCGGCCCGAATCGGGCCCGAACCGGCCGGGCCGGTTCACCAAAAAAAGGGCCCGAGCCCGAACCGCCCAGCAGCCGGGCCGGGCCGAACCGAACCGGTGGACCCACCGGGCCCCGGGCCGGGCCGGGCCAAACAGTAACCGGGCCGGGCCGCCCGGCCCGAGTCCAGCACTATTACTACTCCCTCCATTTCTATTTGGTTGACACAGTTTGACTTGTCAAGATTTAAGAGAAAAAAGTTATTGAGGGGTAAATTTTACTGTAGAGTACACTGTTTGGCACTGTTTGAACACTGTTTGACACTGTTTTAACACTGTTTGACACTGTTTGAACACTGTTTGGCACTGTTTTGAACTGTTTAGGTAAAGATTTGTTTACCAAATAAGAAAATAAAGAAGTGTGTCATTCATTTTGAAACGTCCAAACAAGAAAAGTGTGTTAACCAAATAGAAACAGAGGGAATATGATGTTAAAGATGTCATTCTCAATAGATATTGACTTAGTGAGATTTCTTACATACGAGTAGGATTTATATCATTCATTCAAACACACTGACACGTATATTGACGTCATATCATGGCAATAAATGTGTAGACGGCACCAGCCTTGCCAGTCACATTTCTTCTGCTATGTGGTCTAATACAGAGTAATAATGGTACTATACACTATTGCAAAGGGACTTGTCAATTCACACACTCTTTCTCTGTCTCTCTCTGCTCCTTTTTAAGAATCATGTATTAATGCTAACAAATTCCTGGCCTTTTGTTGTTTGCTGAGGAAAATCGAATCCAGAGAAGTTGAGAGGGGGTGGGAATGGGTAGAAAACCTTGCTGTGACAAGAAAGGGCTGAAGAAAGGGCCTTGGACTCCTGAGGAAGATGAAAAGCTCATTGAGTTCATCAAGAAGAATGGTCAAGGAAGCTGGCGTTCTTTTCCCAAGCTTGCAGGTGAACCTTCTCTTCTTTCCTCATACCCTGGCTCCTTTCTTTCACTTATCTGTTATTTTAGGTATTTTGAAAGCAATCTAAACTTAAAAAGAAGTATTTTTGGAGTATAGCTAGCCCCCATCTCTATTATAGGACTGAATATCCTGTTGGCCAAGCGATTTAAGACAACTCCATCAAATTACAAGCCATGTGCTGTAGAGTGTTTGGTTGAACATAAATAGTAAGTCTCTTTTCCATCTCAGTTTGGGTTGTAATTTGTCCCCAGTCTACATATGTTGTTATTTACTGGCCAATAAAACAATTTGAAGATTTATTTCAAGCAATTATGAAATATTGATGTATTTAGAGCAAATTAACTTAATTAGTAGCCAGTTTTCACATGTAAGTATTTTTTTTAATAACTGCAGAGTTCAGATTGTCTATGTTCTTCAATATAAATATATGAAATATTCTCTCGAGAAGAAGTCTATGTTGAAAGGAACTGGTAAGCTTTAACTGGCACGAGTGTATAACATATTTATTTAGCAACAGTTCCCAACAAATAAACTACGTAATTATGTGCTAGCTAAACTGATTAGGTTTTTTTCCTTTTCCTTATCCTACTATTAAAGAAATCGGAATACTGAAAAACATAAGCAAGTGGCTGATGAAACCAGCATTTTGCCATTTCTTCTTTTTTGGTCTTTATTTGTTTATAGACTCATCATCATCCCACCGTTCCTACCAACGCTTACCTACTTATGAGCAAAAAAGGACAAAGTTTTCGTGTTGTTGATTCCTAGGTGTAGAGATTCTTCCCCTATGCTGCTTATTGGCACTAATGCTTGGTATTATTGGCACTAATACTTGGACTCATTGAGCTCATTGATAGCACATGCTGATTTTTAATGTCATTATAGGTGAAGTGTTTGCTGAATAATACTGTATTATATAACAACTGCTAGTGAAGACATAATTTTGGGGATCTAAATTGGTAAATTTTATCCCTGGGCATTGTGTCTATACTTTGTATGAATTCTTAACAATAATAGTCAATAGACTGGCCATTGTTTATAATGGGCAGTTCAGTAAGAAATGCATGGAGAATGGTTGTCAAACAAAAGGAGCAAACAAAAGATATGGTTCCCCTATCTCTACAGGAACAAAAGGAGAATTTGCTTTTGTGACTTTTGTGAAGAATTGATGGCTGATATTATCAATCATAGTTACCTACTTGTTAATATGATAGCATTTGCGTAGGAATTGGTTTTGAGGAATGCAATATTTTTGGCAAAAATATATTTAAGCATTCAAAGATATATACTTTTAAAAATATATTCATGAGGAGTACATGCCATTGGTTTTTATATCTTCTCTAGTGTCAACATGTTACATGTCTAATGGATCCTAAAATGGGGAAGGGCAAATCAATGAAAATCCACTGAGTTACTTTTAAGGAGACACTAAGATGTTTTTTGTGGTGTGTATCGCTGCTTTCATTTTCCGTCCCGCAGGGCTTCTTCGCTGTGGGAAGAGTTGTCGCCTGCGGTGGACAAACTACCTAAGGCCAGATATCAAAAGAGGCCCTTTTACCCCGGAGGAAGAGAAGCATGTCATTCAATTGCACGGCATTCTTGGAAACAGGTTTAGTTAGTTCCTTTGCAAGCGTCAACAACAAATTTTCATAGCAGGGAATAAATATATATTAAGTCATAGTAACTGCTTCTTTCAGATGGGCTGCCATTGCCTCCCAGTTACCTGGAAGAACAGACAACGAGATCAAGAACTTATGGAATACTCATCTGAAGAAGCGCCTGCTTTCAATGGGAATTGACCCTCAGACTCACGAACCCTCAACGGAATTTAATGGGCTGCCGAGGCTACATACGAGCCCCTCCACCCGCCACATGGCACAATGGGAAAGTGCTAGGCTGGAAGCTGAGGCTCGGCTTTCAAGAGAATCAAAACTATCGGTGTCATCAACTATCAGAGGATCTGAAACTGACTTCTTCTTACGGTTGTGGAATTCTGAGACGGGGGAAACATTTCGGAAACTCAAGAAATGCATAGACAATGCCTGTCAAAGCCCACCGACTTCTCTAGCGTCTTCATCCACAAAATGCTGCTCGACCTCAGGTACGACAACCGAAATGGACCTTACTCTACCTGCTGCAGGGGGGGATGATGATCCAGATGGGAAGAACAGCAGATCTAACTACATTGAAGATCTCCTACTAGGAGGATCAGAAACATCTTGTTCAAACGAGTTGGAAGATTCTTCCGAATCAGCTCTGCAGCTTCTGTTGGACTTCCCCACGTTTAATGACATGAGTTTCTTAGGACACACCGACACATATGACGTATATCCCGCCCTTTTGACTGAAAGCTCATTGAATGGCTGCTTATCTGCAGAACATTGAAGTCCCCATCCATCTTCTATTTTTGAACTGGCTGGTTTTTAGTAGCTCCAGCAGTAGAATTCTGGACCTTGATTCTCTTATCCCCCCCTCCCCCTCCCCCTCCCCCTCCCAGTATGACGTTATGTAAGAATATGCCCAAACATCTGATCTTGTTTTGTGGCCTATGGCAAAGTGCTGTCTTGGTCTAATACGTTTGAATTTCGCAAGGGTGCAAATCACTCCAAAAGTTGGTTTTTTGAAACATCAAATTGTTTGGACTCGGGGATCTTAAGATCTTACCAAATGGCCAGAGTGCAGCCAGGTATCCAGCATTCATTCAAGAACACTTGCAGGCTAGGGGTATTGATGGAATACATTTATAGGTACTAGGTCCATTTTTTGTATGATTACTGTGCCCAAGCTGCTGCAGTTTTCCCATCTCTGGGCTATTATTTATATAGGATTTTAACGATTATGAATTATAAACAATTTTGTTCCATATTTATAATTCATCAATATGTCTAGCCTGAGAGCTCACTCCATCCAGCAATCCATCTGAAAGAAAGGAAGAAAGAAATCATATCACTTCTGTGTATGGCTGGACTCAGGCTGGTTCGGGCCTGGTTCGGGCCTGGGCCCGGCCGGGCCTCGGGCCAGAAAACTGGGGCCCAAGCTCGAACCGCCGGTGGCCGGTTCCGGTTCCGGGCCAAATCGGCCCTTTTTTTATTGTTGGTCCCGTTTAGTATGGTAATCAGTCTAGAGGGGGGGGGTGAATAGACTGATTGGTTTTTCAACTTTTTCTCAAAGTCAAAACTGACTTATCAGAGAAGGTCTGATTCTGATGACAGAGAGAGGCTGGTTCTGATATCAGAACTGGCCTTGGCAGCGGATTCTGATCTGTCCGGGTAGCCTCAGAAAATACTAAGGCAAATGCCTTTCTGATAACTCTGAAAACAAGATCTGCTGAACACAGATTCCAAGTCTTAGAGTTAATCAGATAATATCCTAAGTGCAGAAATATAAATTGCAGTAAAGTAAATGACACCGGATATTTTTATAGTGGTTCAAGGAACAACTCGTTCCTCTAGTCCACTGTTCCACTAGCTTTGAAGTAGATCGGTTACAAAGCTTAGTTCCTAGCACTTAAGAAGCACTCCTCGTCTTCTTCAAGCCTAGATGTCACCCGGGATGCAATCCTGCTTCCTGATGACTGGTCCTTTCACTCAGTTTCCCGGAAGTATCACCACTTCACTACTGCAGTTACTTAGACGCCCTTCTTTTCAGAAGATCCTTTGAAAAACAGAGTTTTTCCTCCAACTTGCTTCGTTACAAATGATGTTTGATGAAGTTCTTGAAGTGTTGAAGAACAGGATGAACTTTGCTTATTTGTTGGGGATGAGAGATTTGGAGTTTGAATCTTCCCAACTTAAGCTTGTCTTTTTGAAGTTTGTAGAATTTGAATCTCAAGAAAGCTTGAATGATGATGAGCAAAAGTTGTAGCAAAGTTGTTTTCCAGTTCTCCGTAGAGTAGCTTATATACTGGGGTTGTCTGCCCGTTGGAGGAGGGGACAACTGCATTAAATGCGCGTACAGTTGACTTGACCGCCGTTTTTGGAAGGTTTCTATTTTTATAATATATCTTCCCGGATTCTTTGGTCAATCATTTGCAATCAATCCTTCAGCGTATCAGGCTCATTTAATGTGCATTAAATGCTTTCCTTTCATGCACAGTCTTGTAGCCGTTGGATGTTTTTACCCGTTGAATTCATAGCTGTTGGATGTTGCTTGAAATTTTTCTAAGTGTTCGTCGGGCTCTGATCAGGCTCTTCTGATATGTTGGATTCTGATGACTTTCTGACGAGTTGAGTTCTGATGGTCTTCTGATCTCTGACTGAACTCTGACTCTGACTCTGATAGGTCCGCTGATGAGCACTTCTGATCTGTAGTTCTCATCGGCTATCAGATGTCCAGGTTCATCAGCAACTCGTATGATGCAACTCTGATGGACTTCTGCTAAGAGAACTCTGATGGAGCAGTTCTCATAGAGCAAGTCTGATGCACTTCTGATCTGATCCAAAATAGAGCAACTCTGATCGTCGACTACACTAATACTTACAATTGAAAATTCTAATACATAAAATCTAATTTGGGGGTACTCTTACTTTCTAATCCTATAGCATCATCAAAATCTAATTACATTTATTCCTTACAATTTCCCCCTTTTTGATGATGCCAAAACCCTTAAACTATTTCCAGAGAAGTGCCTTTCACCAAAAAGAAGAAAAGTTAAAAAAAATTTCATTTAAAATCTTGGTGGGCACTTGGCATAGGAAGATAGTAAGAGTAAGATACAATATAATCAAATAAATAAGATAAGAAGTAACATAAGGTATCAGAGCATAAATAATCAGAATGCAGTAGAGAAATAATTTGAAAGTGCCATGCAAACTAGAGGCAAGCTGGTTATCTTATTAAAGAAATATATTTAAAGCAACAAGAGGATAGAGTTTAGAAATCTTCCTCTTCCAGATCAGCTTCCTTAGCTTCAATTTCCTTCAGATCAGCATTTACCTTTGCTCTGATGGAAGCTAGGTTTCTTGGGTTCTGACACTCTGCCCAGGCAGGTTCAAGCTTGCAGTCAAGGTAGTTTCTGATGGCTTCAGAGATGTCCTTGCCAGGGATCACTTTCATTCGCCACCAGTCTTCTGCTTCTTGCATAGAACCGCCATGATTAATGATGATTGTCCCATCTCTATCTAGAATAAGATTTTCCTGTTGGAGAGGTGTCATGTGCTTCTTCATTTCTTGAAACTGAGCAGCATCCGGTTTAGCTAGATCACTTTTAAGCCATTGAGCAAGAGTGAAAGTTGTCTTCTTTCCTCTCTTGGGTCGAGGAGGAGGAGGTCTTTGAATACCAGCAGCAATCTGCTTTTGCCTGGCTCTCTCAAAATATATTGAAGGATCAGGCTTATCAGAGACAGGGGTCAGAGCTCTGGTGCTTGTGCCTTCTGTAGCTCTGATGGTTTTGACAGGTTCTCTACTATCTTCCCCCTTTTTGGCATCAACAAGATCACCAAGTAGGAGTCCAATTTTCGAGAACTCTGTAGCATTGTTTTCCTTGATTGCTTCGAGAGCTCCGGGGATAGTTTGAGTAACAGAAGCCAGCCCTTCTATCAGTTCCTTTTGCTTGCCCACAGCTGACTGAATGTCCTTGGTAGTAGCTTCAAGGAGGGTCAACTTGTGATCCCTGTCCTTTCCACTGTTGATCAATTTGAGACTGAACTCTTTGTTGGTCTTGCAGATTTCCTCCACATCTGTCAGATGTTCTGCATGTTTGTCAGATGACCATTGAAGATCATCCACTGCATCAGACAGGTCTTGAATAGCCTTGTCTTGAGCAGATAGAGTCTGTGATTGTGAGAACAGGACTGTGTGCAGACTGGCAACCTCTGAAGCTATGCTGTCAACCTTCTCATTGGAAGTCTTCATGTAGCTAAAGAATGTAGTTGACAGTTGTGAGAGAGTATTGGCGATTTTCTCAAGTCCTGACTCAATGTTGAACTGTACCAAATCCAGATGAGCATCATGCTTCTGATTTAGTACAAGTAGCTTGTTCAGACCAGCCACCATCTGATCTCCAAAGTCCTCTGCTGATTCCACAAATTCCTGGAAGGGAATGAGGACAGCTTTGGGTGGTTCTGGCTGAGGTACCTGATTGACTTGCGGCTGAGGTTGAGGTTGATCAGGAGATAGAGGAGGGGTAGGAGTCTTCCTCTTTGCAGATTGAAGATCACAAGCCAGAGAGGAAGTAAGGAATCCATCATTATCTTCAGTTGAGGAAGGAATCCTTACAACTGGTTCTCTCTTTTGTGCTGAGGCAGCAGAATGTTGAGGAGATGGAGGTTTGGATGAGGGCTTCTGCTGAGGAGAGGCAGATTTGGATTTCTGATGTTGGGAGTTCTGATGAGGTGAGGTTTGAGGGGTAGGGATTCTCTGATGTTGTGATGGAGGAGGAGGTGAGGGTGATCGGCTTCTGATGGGGGTGATCTGATGGCAGGGTGAGGGTTGTTTTGGTGTGGAGGATTTCTTGGGTGTTGGAGAAGGGATTTGCTGAGGTTGAGGAGGAGATGGGGGTGGAGTTGTGGTTGGTGTGACTGGTTTGGGTGAAGGTGATTTGGGAGGTGATGGTAGGGGGGTAGGAGAGTTAGGAAGTACCTCAAGAACTGTTTCCTCAACTGGAGACTCTCTCCATTCTCTGATCAGGTTCTTCATGGCCAGAGACACATCATTGGCAGTTGAGGGTTCACCCTCTGCACCTGGAAGGGGTTTCATCTTGATGAGAGACTCCCTTCTCTTCTTCTCCATCAGCCATGCATCAAAGATGGGAATTTCGCTCTCTGATAGAGGCTTGACATGTTCTTCTGAAGATGGAGCAGTCAGTTTCTCTTTCCCCTTTAAGCTTTCCTTCTTCTTTTCAAGAACAGATTGTAAGTATTGAAGGTCGAAGCATAAAGAGACATCATCAGTACCTGCCCATTTGAGGACTTCCTCTTCCTCTGATGCAAAAGTAGCAGCTTGGGCAAGAATTTGCTGCAGAGGTCCCATCCTCCACTTCCTCCATGTGAGTACCCTTTGAAACTGTCTGTCCAGAGCAGTAGAAGGGTTTAGCGGTTCTGGTGGAGGCATGATGACTGGCAGATCAGGTGCAGATAAAGGGTGGACCTCTGATTCAGGTTCCCCCTGAGCATCAGAGATCACCAGAGCAGCAGCCAACTCTGGTGCAGGTTCCCCCTGAGGTTCTGATTCCTTGGGAGGAGAGTTGGTCTGCTTCTTCTTCTTCTTTTGGATTCTGACGGGAGATTTGGAGCTATCAGAGTCACTCTGAATGACAGCTCTTCTTCTCCTCTTCTGTCTCAGTTTCTTGACAGGGGCCTCTGTTGGTGCATCCTCCTCTGATGCATGTTTCTCTGGGTTGGTGTCAGACTTCTTCTGAACCTTCTTCTTCTTTTCTCTGGGTTGTTCATCATCAACCGCAGCTGTAGTAACTTGTTTCTCCCTTAGTTGCTCTTGCTTGTTGGTTTTTTTCAGTTCTGCAGCAATAGCTATATGCATCTTGGGAGATGAGGTGAGGAAAATGGTTTTGGAATGATCAACTGTTGATGGATTTCTGAGAACCACTCCTTGACTAGCAATAGCCTTGGAGAGAAGAAGACCATGGCCCATCTTTGTGGTGAATAGGCCTGTTTTCTTGTCTTTCTTCTCCACTGTTTCAGTGAGGGATTTGTACAGAACCTTCCCCCAATTGATGTTCATCCCATGATGGACTGCATAGAGGGCCTTTGAGTTGGCGTTGTTCATCTGGTCAGTAGAGCTTGTTTTGCACCACAGACATCGGTGCATTATGCTCATCAAGCGCTCAAAGTCCTTCTTGAGCTGGTTCTTCTTCATGTAGAGTTTATCTACTCCGGTTGCATCATCCCGGCAGTAGGTATCAACGAATGTCTGCACAGAGACATCAACTGACTCCAGGTCGATGAGAGT